TCCCACCAAACCACTAGGAGGCACCATTTGGGCCAATGGTAAGTTAGAGTTTCATCTTTGTTCCCTCAGTAAAATTCTATTTGACATTTTTTATCCTTTTGGGTAGATGTAAAATCTATTTGTCACATCAGAGGAGAGAAAGACTTAAACTCTTCAGAAGGCTATCTTTGAATACTAATGGTTGTTTGTAAATACAACTGTAAATCACTATATGAAAAAAAAACCTGAAGCTTATCATTGTGATTTTTGCATTTATCAGAGTTTTAGGAAAAACTCATACACCCAGCAAAACCCTCAGGCAGCTTAGGGTGCCAAGACTTCCTTCCCCTCTCTTTCAATCTGCTCCAAGCCCATAAAGAGAACTCATGAATAAATGTGGTTGGCAGATGAACCAAATATCCAAAGACATATTTTTATGACAATTGTATTTTAATCTTTCAGTTTGAAGCATGCATTTGTCTTTATGTGAATACACAGCATGGTAGGGAGCCTGTCCTCAAACATTTCATAATCCCAATTTTTCAGATGCCCCTGCTCCCCCCCCCCTACCACTCTCTGCCTTTCACTCGCTTCCCCCGCCCTTCCAGTTCACGAGGGACCGAGGATGTTGGAAAAGTTTTTGAGGAAATGTGGGAGGTCTGCAGTCCATTTCCTCCTTGACGTGGGCTTCACTTACGAGAAGGACAGAAACCACCACCAACAGTGCAAACGTGCTTCCAGCGCAGCTCACTGCACTGCGCGCACTGGCTGTTAGAGAGCTATTGTGTCACTCCACAAGGTAATGGCACTCAGGGGACCTGACAGGCCAGTGAAGCCTCCCTTTCCATTTCTGAAAAACATCCCCTCAGGAAATAAACTGGCTTCTTCTGCAAAACACACACTTGCTCGGCAGTCTGACCAACTCATCACCCCTGTTCATCTCGCGCTCCGTGCCTGATTAGTAACAGCTAGTCCAAGAACATCATGAATATGGCTTCAATGGGAAAGGAAGACAAACAATACCCTTGCCAAACAAACGCGCATGCACACACACCCGCACCCCCTCCAAGTCCCAACTTCTTAAATGTTGGGAAATACAAAATGCCTCAGTCAAAACCACTTTACATAACTGGGAACAGGGTTGAAAATTACTTCCTTTTTCTCCTCCAGATATGTTTGGAATGATAATAGCACCCATTCTTTACTGGCCTGTCACATGCCACGCACTGTGTTAATGTGTGTGTGTGTATGTGTAATGATATATATATATACTTATTTTAATTCTTGCAACACCCCTGCAGAGTAGATATTATCTAAACTTCACAGATAAGTAACTTTTCCACGATCGCAACAAAGCAGTCGAGGAGCCAGAATCTGAACCCAAGGCTGTGTGTGACTCCGGGGGTCCAGCTCCTCTCATTAAGTCACAGCAATTGTTTTTACGTGAACCCTATTCCTTACTCAAGGCTGGTTGAGATCACCATCTCGTCTATGGATTCTTGACTTCTTCTGAACAGAACTCTGACGGTAACAAGTAGGAGAAACCCGCTGAAATTCGTTCAGGCAGAAGGCACAGCGTGGTCTTCTCATCCCGGCCCAAGCACGGGCAAGGAAGCGAGGGGAACGTAGCGGGTTCGGGAATCTGCACGAGTGGCCAGTAGAGCGGGTGCAGCTGAGGCAGCCCAGGCAGCTCTGGGCCTCTGGTCTCAGAGAGGCCACTTTTCTCTGCGCGCCTGCCCATCCCAGCTGGCTTCTCTGAGCCCCAAGCCCCTCAAAGCGGCAGTCTGCCCCCAGTTCCACCGTGGCTTCCTTGACTGCTGGACCATGGGGGACAGTGAAGGCTGACGTCAAAAGCCAGGTTAAGTGCTTGGCAAGGCCACGCTTGACACTTGTATCTGCAAGACAGAGTAAGCTGGCAACTGGCAACAGCCTGAGCCCAGGGGGCAGGGGGCACGGGGCGTTGAGAAGGAAGTAGATAACCGCAAGCTCCCGCCAAAGACGACAGCAACCTTTGCAGAAGAAAGCTTATCATGTAGATAGCCAGGGAATGGAACAATCCATGCCCACAGCCTTCCCCTAAGTCTGCAAAACTCCCTTGAGCTTTATCTAACCAACTCCTATAAAATAAAGGTGGAGACTGTGGTCATCGTCATTGTCTCTCCATCAGAGGACGATGCCCCACCTGGCCCCCGCTTCTCTCTAAACTGTCTTGTGTTGTGTCTTTGTGTTGTATTGTCCTTTCTCAATCCCCTGTCACTCCCACTCAGGGACTGCCACTCTGTACAGGTCGCAGCACTGGACCTTTGAGTTCAGGGCCTGCAACCTAAGAGTAATGACTGCTTGTCACGTTCCAGATTCCGAGGAGAGGAATCTGAGGGGCTCGGCTCATATTTGTTAACTGGACCGCACACAGGGCACAGGCTGCTGGCCGGCCTATGGGTGGGCACCCCTACGTCAGATGTTCACCCTGGTCCAGTCACAGGTAGCTCGAGGTTGGAGAGAAAGGATCAAGTGATCTGCTGCTGCCCCTTCTGGGTGAGGAAGCACCTTGAAGTCCAGTAAATGCTCAGCTCTCATTCACTCCCCTTTCCTTTATAAGGCTGATGTGTATACCCAGTTTAGCCCTTAATTTTAAGTAGTTCCCCATTGCTTTTCAGTTGCATTTTATTTATTTTCTAGGCCCCCAGAATACTGCATTTTTTAAAATCCTCACCTGAGGATATGTTTATTGATGAGAGAGGGAGGGGGGGAGAGAGAGAGAGAGTGAGAGAGAGAGAGAGAGAGAGACATCGATGAAAGAGAGAAACAGCGATCAGTTGCCTCCTGCCCGTACCCCGCCTGGGGATCGAACCAGCAACCTTTTGGTGTACGGGATGATGCTTCAACCAACTAAGCCACACCGTCAGGGTGAGAACTACATCTTAAGGTAGTTATATCTGCAATGCCTAGCAGAGTGCTAAGAAAACAATGAGCACTTAGAAATGATTTGTTTTACTAGACTGAGTTCATCATGGGGCAGGACAATGCAGATGATCACGAAGAGTTTCTTTATTTCTTCCCTTTCCCACAGAAATACCATCAGAACTATAAAGAGAACATCACATGTGATCATAAGTCTTTAACCTCATTGGCTTAACTGGAGAATATGTGGAGAAGGAAAAGAACTTGACCCCGCGCACATGAACTGTGAAGTATCTTCCAACTCTTCTTAAAAGAAGCATCCAGCCAAAAGCTCTTAACTTGAATAATGCTTGCAGGTACCATATTCTTGCTCTGATCCCATCGCTTTACCACCCATTTAGAAGCTCTACTAGAATTAAGATAAATGACTCTAATCTATTTACAGTGTTCAGCTTGATGCTGTTCTAATTTGCCAAAGAAAAAAAGGAAATAGTTTCAAACCCTTGGTATTCAATTACTAGTAAATTACTGGTTAGCACGTTACTGTTGGCATTGTTGTTGAGACGTTAAGACACCCTGCTACCTACAGCTGAGATGACACTAACTGTATCAATAAGGATGTTTTCAGCCACAAATAAAAAACCAGACTCAAATGGTCATAAAAATAAGGAAATGCATTAGCTGGGGTGGTGGTTTAAATCATGTTCAAAATTCTTGGAATTTCCTCTCTCCAAAGATTGGGGTGTCCTCTCTCCTACATCGAGGCTAAGCAGAGGGACTGGCTGACCCAGACAGGGCTGTGCAAATGACAGGATGTGGAAATAATGGAATAGGATGTCGAAAGCTAGGTCATAAAAAGCAATCCCACTTCTACTGGGTTCCCCTCGGAAGCTGGCCCTTGGAGTCCAGCCACCATGCTCGGAGGAAGCCTAAGCAGCGTGTGGAGGAGGAGCCACGTGAGAAGGATCCCAGGGTTACGACTTTCGGACATGACTGAGCCCGTGCCAGCTTTCCAGTTCTGCGGTGAGCCATCCAGGATGTGGGTCCGCCAGCCCCCAGCTGGCACCTCGTGGGACAGAGACGAGCCGTCCCCATGAACCCTGCCATATTGCAGATTTATGAACTAAGTAATGATACCGTGTTGTTTTAAGACACTAAGTTTTGGGAGGGTTCATGATGCAGCAGCGGGCACCTGGCATGGCTAACCTAAAAGGAAGTCCAAGGGCTGGCAAGGCTTCAGAGCCACTGATCCAGCAATTCAGCCACGTGTCACTGAATGTTCTCCCTCCCTTTGCTCTGTTCCAGATTGTGTGAGCTTCGTCCTAAATCTAGTTGCCTTGTGTTTGTAGAAAGCCTGCCGGGGCCATCAGAACGTCCTCCTTTGACTCGAGTGAGGAAGCAGAATAAAGTCTCCTGGACCCCTCTTGAGAAAAGCTGTCAAACTTCTCCTCATAGCTCTGTGGCCAGAATTGGGTCACATGCTGATTCTTGAATAAATAACTGGCAAAGAGGATAAGATAACATTTTGACTGATCAGTCCTAACTGGTAAGTTGAGCTCAATGTACTGTACTAAACCACATTGCTGCTACTTATAGGATAGAATGGATATTGGAAAGGACTTCATTGGTGTAAGAACATTTGAAAAGAAAGTCAGGTAACAAGGAAGACCCTCACGTGGTGACCAGCCCTGGCATGTATATGATAACTAGGAGAAAATTCACAGGATCAGGACTGGTCTGAGTAAGCGGTAGAGGATCTAGCTTTGTATAGGTAATGAAGGAGGTAAAGTCTACTTTCAAAACCCATTGACTCAGGATCTTTCCCTTATCCAGGCATCCAATTTTTATCACCTGTCCCATCTTCATCAGCCATCTGCATATGTATACCTGCTCCCTGGGAGAGGTCAGCCTAGTGGTAAACAAAAGGGCACTGTTCAACTTCCCGTAACTTACTCCAATTTCCCTCGGAAGAATAACCCCTTGCCATAGGCAAGGGTTGGGGTCATTATTTTTCCTACTGTGCCAATGAAATAAGTAAGGCTTTAGGGTTTGGGCAGATCACTTCTTCAACCTATCTACTCATATCAAAAATGAAAGGAACAGACCAGAAGATTACTAACCTTTCTAGCTCCAGGAGTTTCTGCTTTCTGCCTCCTATCTTCCTCAAGATGACTACAGCCATGCCCAAAAATCGATATCACTTGATGACTGTCATGCTGTATGCTCAGTCTTCCTCATAGTCACCGTCTCTCCATCCTTCACGAGATTGTTCTCACTGCGCTGGGCCAGTTCCTCCTTCACTTCCTGGACTGGCTGAAGGTAACGCAGACTCCTTAGCTTCTCCTGCATGGAGTTCTGCTCCTTCCCTGTGGCATTGGCTGAGTCCTTTAAACACAGCAAAGTGTTGTGATGGAGTTCTGCAAATATTTCATTTCCAAGGCTGAATGGGACAGTTCGTAAAAAAATATTTTTGTAGCTTAAATTTAGGATGCTCGGAATAGACATCCCTTTATATCATGAGAAGATTACGAGAACCGCTCCTTCCTCCACCCCAAATTTGTACTTCTGGCTGTGGCTACTGTTTTCCCATGATTTTATCCCCCGAGTCAGAGTGGACTGGTTTCATGAAAAGGCACCTGACTCCAGAAGGGCCAACCAGAATCTTTCTCTAGAATTCCTTTTCAATTACTAACTAGGCAAGAACAGTCAGTCCTCTTTTCAGCAACAGAAGACAATTTGGTGGCCAGGTCTCCTAGGCAGAAGTCAACATATAATGAAGGAGAATGGAGCTGATAATTGGAGAGAAGTAAAGATAAGAAGTGGTTTAAAAGGTTCCAAAGGCATTAGAGGTCTTGGCTGCATTCAGTCCTGTGGGAAGCTGCACTCTGATTTCCCACTGTACTGGAGTACATCTGATAAATAAAACCTTTTGTCTAAGTTAATACATGTTTAGATTCCCTCACTTAAACACAAGGGACTTGATATGAGTACTGAAAAAAACTAGGTCCCTACAAGATTCTTTGTAACTGAGTCTGGCATTTTTAATTGATTGTGATTTGCATACATTTGTATCTATTTTAAATGCTCCCCTCTTGGTGAGCCTATCACATGCCACGCACTGTGTAGCATGTTTATGGCATGAGATACTAGACAGAAAACACGGAATTTGGAGGCAGAAAACCTGAGTGTAAATCCTGGCTTTAATATTTCTTTTGTGACAGCTCAGAAGCCTCCCTGAGCCCCCTTCTCTCTTTCAGTGAAGTGGAGGTAATAGTCACCTTTGCCCTGGCAACCTCTTAGCACTGTTATGATGGTCACAATAAGAAAACGGAAAGGGACAGGGCCACATTCACCTTTGCATTCTTGATGTCTACCACAGGGCCTGGGACAATGGCGCAGATAATATTCAAATGTCTGATGTATAAAATTAAAAATGAAAGAATTTTGTATACTTTATAGCGGTATTTAAATGTGAGTTAATAGGATGCAGACCACTTCACATTAGGGGATGTATGTGTAATGATTAACAGTAGCAGGTTAAGATGGTCTTGAGCTAAATGACAATATCAGTGTCATGAACAAAACTTCCTCCTAGCGAGATGTGAAGTAAATGGAACTTGTGACCAGTACCTCTCCATTCTCTCTTTGCTTATTCTCCCTCCGTTTGATCCTGAGTCAATGTGTCTCTGGTCCCAAATTCTAAAAGCGGCCAGTGTTTTGGAGACGCTCTATGCTGTTCATAGAAGCATCAAATGCAGACAACAGTAAAAGAAGAGATTATTGAAATGATCTAAGGCCCTTTCACTTGTAATTAGCACATAAATTTACCTCTCCTTTTGAACCATCGATATGGCTAAGGGTCTCACAAAACTCTCAGGAATGCAAGTTGCTCATTTATAGTCCTTTGTTTCTTCCCAAATTCCCATGTAAAATTACGCAATGAATACACGAGGACTCAAGAAGCACAGTCACCTCGAGCATTTGGTGTGGTGCAAACAGACTCATCACTGTATTATGATACAGAAGAGTGTAGCCACAAAAGTTTATAATGATAATCATGCACCAAGTAAAACTTTACCTAGGATATTTATAGTGTGGCTACCAAGACAGGAAAGTGGTAGATACTTTATTTCTAATATCCATCAAAATGATTACAACTATTTTAAAGGTTTAGTGCTTCAAAAAGTATATTCCTAAGTAGCTGAAACACATTTCCTCAAATGATTCACTTTTTCAACGCTGCAAGAGAGTTTTAATTTGGGGATATCATTGCTCATTCAGTGGTTCAGTAAGTTAATCACAGGTACTAGATTCCCATAATGTAAAGATCCCAACACTTAACATGTCACAGTTAAGTGAAAATAACCAACCTCCTAACAATATGTGTATTCTATCAGGATAAAAATACTTTCCCTCACTAACTTTGACTTTTTCAATTTATAAGGGAAAACTGTTTGGGGCCAAATTTCCTACAAGAAAGATTGTTGAAAAAAATGAATCGTCATGGGCTTTGAATTTCTTTTGACCCCACCAATAGATCCCTAACTGGTCAATTGCTTGAAACAACTTCTCTCCCACTTTCCTACCTTAATACACATAACGCAACATGTGTGCTGCACTCTGTGCTGGCCCAGTGAACCACACAGAAGAAACCTGCCTGGCACATTTGAGGGACTGCGAGTGGGCCAGACAACTGGAGCAAAAGAGAGGGAGAGGGTTGGGAATTGAGGACAGAGGAGTGTGGGGTAGGCACTGGGGTGAAGGAGAGAGCGTAGGCCATTATTATTTGCTTTCCCCCCAAATAGGCTAAGAAGCCATTGGAGGGTATAAAGTAGAGGAATGACATGAACCAATTTAACATTTGCACTCCAGCTGTTGCATTGAGAACACACTGCAGGGAGCAGGGGGCAAGTGTGGACGCAGAGAGACTGGCTAGCCCACTGACCATAATGGAGGCAGAGAGGACGGTGGCTGGTTTTTGAAGCTGACGGGTTAAAGGCTATGTCATAGGCCAAGAAAGTCATCCCCAGGGGATGCAGGCTATTATTAGTGTTACAGCATTCTGAGCACCAAGGCTTATCAATAAATGGTTGGTTGATGGAATGGCAGACCCAAGTGAGTGACTACAAGTTGGAGAGTCAATGTCAGGATTAGAAGGGAAACTTTTTGAATATTTTGCATAGATCAACCAAAATGAACTGGAATTGACTCAAAACTAAGGAGTTCAGACTCCCCCTCATTGAATTCTCTGCTTGGATTGTTCTTTAAAATTACACACACACACACAGACGAAAAACCTGTGATCAAAAAACTTGTTGAAATGCCACGATTGCCCAGAATCCAGCCTGACCTTGCGGCACTCCCAGATATTAAAAATCATTTCTATGGTCTTACATTTTTTTGGTGTAACAAGCACAAGAGGCCATGAACTCCAATATCTGAAGCAAACGTGTTAAACATCTGGGATCTGGCATGCATTTCTCCTGTGGGATGCATTGTTTGCGCAAATCCTTATTGAGTCAAAATATTCGTGTAACCTAGTAAGAGCAGTTCTCTGAGGCCAGAGGCAAAATCCGGAGTTCTTCAAACCAGTTAATAAACTTAATGTAAAACCAGGCTGGAAGTCGGTTTTTAAAACAGAATGGTATCTAAACAGAATCAGGCTTCAGCACCCAGAGCTCTTGCTCTGACAAGATGGCTGGTCTGAACTAAGTGGAGTTTTCCAGGCTATAGGCTGAAGCTCACAACCCCTGGACCAAAGGCCCTGGCATGTGCAGGAAGGACCCTGGCCTGCAGTTTAAGGGCAAGCTCTGTCACTTACGTAGAGACGGTCTTGAACAAATTCATTTACCTCTGGGTTTGATTTGCCTTTTTCCTATAAAAGATGGAAGGGACAATACTGCTCCACATGTCTTAGAAATTTACGAGCATAAAAAAATAGAACAGTCCTGGCTGGGTAGCTCAGTTGGTTAGAGCAGCATCCAGATATACCAACATTATAAGTTCAATTCCCAGTCAAGGCACATTCAAGAATCAACCAGTGAATGCATAAATGGGTGAAACAACAGATCAGCCTCTCTCTTTCTCTCCCTCCCTTCCTCTCGCTCTGAAATCAATAAGTTAAAAAAATTTTTATTAAAAAAAAGAGGTTAACATTAAAAAATAGAACAATAAGGGTGACAGAAGGTTTAAATCTCTATACATATAGACACATAAAAGAAAAGGAAATACAGGGAGGGAGGAGGAGGATTAAAATATAAGAGGTTGTTATTAGAGGATGAGAAAGACCAAACAAGCTGAACAAAGTTTCCAAAAAAGCTAAGGGTAGTTTTCTGGAATGTTTCTCAAGGGCAGGACAACGTCTTGTGCTTCTTTAGCTTCTCCCCAAAGCGGCCGGGGCAGCATCCCCTGACTGACAGACGGACAGGTTCCTCTGGATCTCCGCAATCCACACCTTGAGCATTTTAGGGGCGGGTGCAGGTAGAGGCCAACAGAGCCTACCCCATTGCCTCTGGTCGGCCAAAGGACAGGCAGCAGAGAAGGAACATGTCTTTTCAAAACGGGGACAGGAATAGCTTTTTATGTCCACATCTCCCCTCTGAGAGGGGGCTGCTGTCTCCTGCAAAGTATCTTTGTGCGGCTGAGCCTCTGCGGGGTTTCTGGCCTGAAACCCCTCAGGTGGGCTGGCAGCTGAGTTGGAGTAGGGTTCCTGCACAAGAGAGTACGACGGACTTGGATTTCGGGTGCTTCACATGAAGTTGAGTGTGGAAGAAAGACCCAGTGGAAGGGCGGAAGGAGAGCCGAATTCCTCTCTGTTCCACTCTCTGCCCTCGCATCCTCAGTAGAGTTGACCACATGCCCAAGTGAAAATGGAGTTTGTATGAGTTTCCTAAGATTGCTGTAACAAAGTGCCACAGACTTGGCTTGAAACAAAACAAATAAATTCTCTCACAGTTCTGGAGTCTAGAAGTCCCAAATCAAGGTGCCAACAGGACCGTGTTCCCTCTGAAGGCTCTAGAAAATGCTACCCCATCTCTCTTCTAGCCCCTGGCGGCTCCAGGAAGTCCTGGGTGTTCCGTGGCTTGCAGCTACATCCTACCAACTCTGCCTCCATCTTTCTATAAGGATATTAGTCACTGAATTGAGGGCCCACCCAATTTCAGTATGACCTCATCTTAACTTGATTCATCACATGTGCAAAGAGGTCACATTCTGGTGTCCTGGGCAGATGTGGATTTTGGGGGACACTATTCAGTCCTCCACTGTGCTGTTTCATCTTGTTTTTATGGAAAGTAAAAAAGCGGTTTTATGTCCGAATTAACTGGCAATGGACAGGGGGAGTGGGGTGTGAGCGGTGGAACAGCCTATGAGCCAAGCGAATTCAAGAGAAGTGTGCATGGCAGGCTTCATGCAGTGCCACCAAAAATTGCCTCTACTGTCACCCAGAGCCATCTGTGCTGTGGCTGCTTGCTCATGACCCTCGTTAACTTCAAAGGCCGGAGCACCATGTGGAAACCCTCTCTGCCTCTCCCTGCCTCCCAGTTCTTGAGACTGAAGAGGCGGCCGTCCGTTTTCCAGCCTAGGCCTCTGAGGCCTTGTTTCCCAATGATGCACCGTCTATCTCAGGTCTCCGTTG